GGGAAAAGGGTTTGCTAACGGCTCGGCGGCTTAAGGCGGGGTCGGCGGGAGCGCTGAGGAGGCGCCGGGGCGGTGAGTCTCGGGGGGGATGAGCTGGAGGGAGGTTTTGTGGAGGTTCCCGCGCTGTTATCCGGCAGCGACGGGGAGCAGGAGTTTGGGGGTACGGGGGGAGCAAGAGTGGTGAAGACTACAACTCCCAGCACGCCTTTCGCTCGGTGCACGGCCGTGGCGGGCAGCGTTGCATGCCGGGAGTTGTAGTCCGCGCCTCGCACGCTGAGGTAACGTTGCAAGTGCTGTCCCACCCGAGTCGCGTCCGGACGCTGTCGCGACACGGCGACATGGCGAGCCGTCGTGCTGCCCATCGAGGTGTGCCCTGAGAAGCAGACCACGGCCTCCGTATTATGGTAGTTATTGGAGGCGGGGGGAGAGGCAGGACTTATTTACCCGGTGTCGGTCGCGACTGTCGCCTGGCGAGTCGTGTCGGGGGCCTCTGCATGAGGGAAGAAGTGGCCTGTGGGGATGAGAAAAACTGAGTACGTCTGAGTCGTTGTGCTTAGAAAACAGAAGGCTAGGTGGGTGTAACGATTCCTGTCGTCTGTGTGACTTTCTTTTTCCTCCATCTCTATAGTGAGTAAGAAAATAAACTTTTAAAGGTGTAAACTGCAGCAAGGAACGGTATGGTTAGGCGCTGGGGTAGAAGGTTCTGGTAATGGGATGACTGCGCTGAACTGCATTAGAAAGATAAAGAATTACTGTTGTTGGAGGCCTTTAAGAACAAATTTAGCCTGTTCTCAGTGTGGTTACCGTTGAATTGCCGTTGCTGCTCTTTGGCGTACAGACGTGCTGGCTTTACACTTAGAAAGAGATGTGGAACGCGGAAAGACTTGTCTAAAAGGCAAATGGGGATGTTTTTTTGTGGTCCTGCACTTAGATAAATATGCAAGATTTAGGCTTTGGGTTAGCAAATATGCGGACATTTGGGTCATTTAGCACTGGGTATTTCCATCATTTTGCTTGTTAATGTCTGGTTTGTACTGTATGGATTATAATTGCTGGATTTTAATTTTGGTTTTGTTTCCTCCTGTTCCATTTGGTTTACAGATCATGAAACGCCGCCACGCATCTTCCAGTAAAATGGGGGAGACCACTGGCGGGGGATCTGCAAAAAAAAAGTTTAAATCCCAAAATCGACAAGGGTCTTCCAGCAAAAAAAAGGGAACAGATGGAGAAGGAAGAAAACAAGGTCAAAAAAGAAAGGTAATAATTATTTTGGATTAAAGAAATTAGAAAAGTAACCGAAGAGAGACAGAAGAAAAAAAAAAAGGCATTTTTGATCAGTTTTTTAATGGAATTTATAGAGAATATTTCATTAACTAAAGGTAGTCCTCTTGAGGAAATGTCCAGTGTGAACAGCTCTTTTGAGACCCACTGCTTTAGCTGCTCCCTGGTTTCCAGAATTTCTAGTTGCGTGCTAGTGTGCCTGTGACAAGTAGAGGGAAGCATTGCCTGATGATTAATAAAAAGGCAAGCTGGCTGTGGAGTTCTGAAGAGCTGCATAGCATCTGTTTGAGCAGAGTGATAAAGTCAGAGTTCGTTCAGCTCAGGTGATGTTTACTCAGTTCTGGAAAATATTCTCCGCGTGTCTCGGGATTGGCCTAGGCAGCTTTCTGTTGGAGAGAGTTTGCTTAACCACTGAACTTGTGAACGGCATGATCGCCAGATGTGGCTGGATAGCCAAACATCTCGTGCATTTCTTATTTCATGACCTCATTCTTGGAATGGGAGGAATTAAGAGAGAATTGCTTTCTCTAACCTGCTTGAGATGAATTCCTGTTTCACAGTTCAAAAAGCCTTTTTTGTGGTCAGCGTCAGTAGACCTCTGTCAGTGCTTTCATGGCCTTTTTATAGTGGGTTGCTAGTAGTAGATGAATGGTTGCACAGCAGTTTCAAAATTACCACATTTGCTGTAATTTTTTCTCTTCAGCAGGTCACTCAGACAGTCAAAAGGAAAGCTAAGGAACATGGGGACTATTCCCCTGCAGGTAGGATTGCATTCTTCCCTTGTCCTATGTGTCTTGTTTTTCGAAAACACTGAAAGTAAAAGTAGTAACTGCTGTGTTGAAGTCATAGATGTGAGATGTCACTGAAATAAGTTTCAGAGTTTTCTTTCTGAACAGTAACAGCGAGTATTCGCAGTACAGTCGTTAGCTAGTGTGCGTTTGTATCATGTGTTGTATATGCACACGTTTTGTTTGCAAGAAGTGTTCTTCTCTTGTAAAATTCCACCACAAGCACCCACAACATTTTAACTTTCTCTTCGGAAGTCATTGTCTTCTCTGCCAACCTCTCTCAAGAGTGGCATGTGTTGTATTGGACATACGAATGAGATGAGGCCCCTGCTGCATTGAGTTTCTCACTTACGTATATTCCCACTCTTATTTCATTCTGGGTTTTCTCACTTGTATTGCCAATGACTTTGGGAGAGTTTCTTACAGCAGTTTCATTCTAAACAGATAGAACCTTTTCTATTTTGTGCTTTTTAAACAACTTGTGACTTGCAAATAGTAAGTACCACCTAATGTGGATAGATTTGACCTGATAGTTTTCTGACACAGAAAAATCTTAACTGTTTTGACTATGATCTGACTGAATTGAGTCACAAAGGTGTCTATCCAGGTTTGACAAATCATATCTTTTCCTTTTTTCCTTTGTGTTAGCAGGAGAAAAAGGTTCTTCAAAAAAGGTGAAGCTAACCAGTGCTAAAATACGATCTTGGCAGACTCTCTCAGAGAGTAGTAGGCAGTTTCTGGAAACTGTAATGGATTCAGTAATACTGTAAGTGCCAAATATCCTGGTGGTTCTTCATTGTTTCCACAAGGAATAAAGTAAAAATCATAACATTGCTTGAACTGGAAAAACTTTGGAGCTTTTTTGGGCAATATGGCTGGCTGTGTATATTTTGTCTGGTATAATATAACACTTTCTGTCTGAAGTTGGAAATTTTTAGCTAGAGAAGTTTTGACTATGTTCACTTCACTTGATGTGTTCTCTGTGCTTGCAGGCTTTGCGATGAAAATTCTGCCTTTATTTTCTTTCCAGATCTGTTTTGTGCCAACAAAGTGAGAGGAAAGATGATGTTCAGAAGCACCTCAATTTGCTGAAAGACAGGTAAGAAATTATAATTTAAAAAAAAATAAAAAAAGGGGAGAGAAAGGATGTTGTTTTCTACCATACTTACAGAATTGCTCCTGGGAGCAATCACATTTAGGAAATCTTGGAAGGGAGAGCTGATACAAAATAAAGGAGGGAAATATCTTGACGGTACCTTGATTGAAGCAGACAAGCAAGAGTTGTTGAAAGACCCACTTTATCTACTTCTATATGCATGACAGAACCTAGGAGGTATTCTTAAGAGCTCCTTGAATCAGCTTTGTACTCTTTATACAGGGTTTAAATTTGTGGGCAGCTATTTATTTTGTTATCATTTTATGATAGTGGTGGGAGCAGTTACAGCTAAATTTTCTTAAAAGCTAATTCATTTTCTGACTGTTGAAGTTTCTTCAAGGAGAATTGAAATTTTCTGTTGGGGCATAACTTGTAGCTTTTTTTTATGTCATTGTGGGAGTAATTACATATGCTTGAGTGTCTGAGAATTTTTGTGTGCATGTGTGTCGGTATACCAGGCTCTTACAGGCTCAGGCTCTATGTTGATATGTTGCTTTCTTTGTTCTTACAGTGCCTCAAGGCTCAAACATGAGGAGCTAGTTTTTTGTAAATGTTTTGTTTTGGTTTTTTTAACAATGTTTAATTTGTGAGGTGTTTAATTTCTGAAGTTGCCAGACTCCTGCAATCTCATCTGAGATGCATGGAAATTGTGGCGGTTTGGTGTATGTAACAGACAGATCCAACTTGGAAGAATTCAAGCCTTCCTCAGAATCAGGACCTTTGAGAGCAAGCTAAAGCTATTCCTCTGGCATAAAACTGTGTATCACATTTCACAAAAGCATTTACAGATTTTACTAAAATTATCTTTGTTTGGAAGCGGTTAAAAATGCTGCTTTTAGAACTTAGTTTTACTTTGAAAAGCAGAAAGGTCGGAACTGGGAAAATACTAGTTAATGCCAATTTATAGTCGGGGAGTGTACAGGTCAATGGGATAGAAACCACACGTCAGTGCAATAGCAAAGGTTAGAATGGTGGGATTTCTTGTTCCTGGTTCCTTCCTTAGCCATCTATTCCACGTGATTTTGGAAAACAATTCAAGACAGCTTTTCTTCCTGTCTGGATCCTTTTACTTCACTGGCAGCAATTGGGCTAAACTGAGTTTAGTTTTTCCCCAGTGAAGTCATTAATCAGTTTTCTTTTTGTTTTGCGAAGAACTCCAAACAAGTCATGCTTTCCTTTTTCTATAATAAAGGGTGCTGAGATTTTTCAAGACTTTAAAGGTACCTCCAGGGAAGCTGGGCAACCTGAAGAATGTCCCGAGCCTTCAAATGGCAGAGAAACAAATGCTTGAGACAAATGAAGAGTCTTTGGTACAACTGCAGGTATGAAAGGCAAGGAAGGGAGGAACATATCTTACCTGTCTGCTGCTGCTCGGTGTGTTCTGACTGTTTAGCAGACGGTCTGCTGGCTATTCCTCTGCTGTTGCAGAGTTGTTGTCCACTGTTCATCATTGTCACCCACGTTTGCTACAAAGCAGTGTATCTTTTTGGATGGTTTTTCAGTGACTGAGCTGATGCTGATTATCAGTATCTTATACGCAAAAGGCTCACCATCTCTAAAGCAAATTTTGTTCTGTTTTTGTGTCTCTTTTGTCTTAGGAAGAAATAAATGAAGCTGAGCGATCAGCAGAACGCATTGAAGAAACTATACAGCAACTGCAGTACAAAATCCAGGTGCTCAAGAGCCAGTTAGAGGAAGATGAAAAAAAGGCCAGGAAGGTATTTCCAATGGCTGTTGCTGCATTCCTCTAGGGAGAATGTGTTTCCAGAGCTATCGCACCCAAGCTGTTTCTGTGTTGTATAAGGAAGGCCTTATTTGCCTTTGGGAGTGTATCTCTTCAATCTTTCCAACTTCAGTTGCAAAATTAAGAAGTTTAGTTTTCAGAAGTTGGATAATGACAGCCAGTTATTTCCCTACTTGTGTGCCTGATGGTTTGGGGTTTGTTTTTTCCCTGCCCTCCCCCCTCTTTTTCCCCTTCTAGGTATTCCAGGAAAATGGCAGTGGAGCACTCCACCTTCCAGAACTGCCCAAGCGCAGCTTCCAGGCACCCACTTTGCAGGTGAGCATGGAATATATTTTCAGAGACACCTTGGCTATGAGAAGAAAGGCAACAGAATCTGCTTTTATCACTTAACCTCTGCCAGAGGGAGCAATTCTGAAAATTCTGAAATATCTGATGTTTTCTCTTTTTTCTTTTTTTTTTTCCTTTTCATTGAGAACTATATGCTTATGTTTTAAAAACAGAACAAAATCCTAGAAAACCTGTAATTTAAAGGATCACACGTAATTTCCCTAGGAACCTGTGGTCCTAGGGAACCTGTAATAATTTCTGAAATATATCTCTCTGTAAATGGTGGAAGGAATACTGTCTCATTCTGTGTCTTCAAATCCTTTTTATTTTAGCTTTATTCAGGTACAGCTAGGCTGCATGAAAATGAAATTTCTGTTGGACTCGGGGAAAGCTGTTTTTTATTTGTTGTCTATTATTCTTTCCTTCTTTAGGAAGAAATTTTGAAGATAAAAAACCAGAAAGGTCTTTTAAAGGATATGAACACTATTCAGCAGTCAGCTGACTTGAAGAACATGTTAACCCTCATTGAAAAGACCTATGAGAAGGTGGACTTCCTTTGAGAAACTGAAATATCTTCTTCAAAGGGGACTCCGTATAACCTAAGCCAGCACTCTGTGTTAATGTAGAGCAGCAGGGTGCTGGTCATGGAAACAGCGTTCTCTTCCTAATGGCTTTACTGTTGTGACTGCTGAATTTCTGTTAACACATTTTCTATGAATATTGGTATATAAATCTGTAGGTGCATTCTGGGACTCTGGTGATTTAAGTGATGAGCGATCAAGGTTTTCTGGGGGCGGTTTTTTGGACCTGTGGTGACTTCTAATAATGATATATACTGTCTTAGGAGAAGGGAGGGAAATGGATCCTGGGCTTATTTGGGCATTTTTATGGAATAAGGCAATCTATTCCATTGTATTTGGAGTTTTATATCACATCTGTAACGGTGAAGGCAGTATCTCTTACCAAACTAACTTCTGTTTTAAACTGGAAACACGTAGTAAAAATATGCTTACCTAATGCTCAGTTGCAAATCCCCTGTTCAACTTTCTTACCATTTTTTAATAAAAAACCTCCATGGCAGGAAATTCAATAATTTTTATCACATTTTTTTTACATTTTCATATTCACCACTTTAAAAAAAAAGGCGACATTTACACCTGGTTTATCCAGATGGTTGGGGAAAGCAGGTAAAAACATTATAGAGCAAAGCTCTAATCTCAGAGTTGTGTACTCACCTTATATTTCATTAGCTGCCAGGTATTCTTCAGCTTTAGAGAAAGGAAATTAGGCCAAAAGTCTATTTTCCCATGTGCTTTAATCTCTCCTCTATTTTTTCTATGATAGAGCTTCTCCCTTAAAAGACTCAGGTATTATAAAGTGCTTTCTCCAGTCAAATTATACGCTAGAAGACAGCAGCGCTCTTTACATTGACTTACCACACAAACACTTGTTCTTTTGTTTACAAGCTGCTGGTACTCTTACTGAGACGTGAGCTAATTATTCTCCTATGAGAGATTAAAAGCCTCTCCGTAGTTGCTACATGTAGGATCAGGAAAACCAGACTAATTGCTTGCTTTGTACTGAATCACATGAAAAAGTGTATAAATATGTAGAAATACTTCTCAAATTTTTGATCACTCAGCAAGGGGAGTGGTCACTTACTGACATAACCACTACCCCAAAGTAATTTAATCCAGTTTATGGGTTCATGATTTTCCTGCATGCCAGCTAGCTTAATTTTTGTTAAGTTAGGATACACGCCTTTGCTTTCATTAAGGGTGACTTACTTGCGAGCAGTTTACTATGTGGGTTTTGAACTTCATGAACCACATCGATACCTGAAGAAGGAAATCATAAAGGTGTAAGGCGTTTCATGAAAGCATTGAGTAGGGATTGGTTACTCGCTGCTTTTTACAACGTAGGAATGAGGGAATAGCCAGTTTGGTGGCTAGACAGCAAGTTCTTTAAGTAAGGTACTCTGTGTAACAGTGCCGGAAGATTCTGTGTGAGCCAAAGTGTACAAATGTGAAAAAGAAGTAAACAAATCTCTGAAGCGTGTGTCCATCAGAGACAATTAAATGGCTTGGACAAAGTAGTGATACGTTGTTGATGTACTTTTAATCATAGATGCTGGCACTGAAAGACAGGGTACTGAAGTAGGATGAATTTTTTCTTAGCTATTATTTGCAGCATTTTCTGTGTTTCCCCAGGAAAGGCTGTAATTACAAGACCTTTTGCGATTATTCTGATGCGGTCAGCTCCTGGAATTGAGATTTGTGGTCTCTTCCCTTCCTTCCAAATCTAGTTGTTTAGATTGCAATGTGTTATGCTCAAAATACTGTTTAAATGCAAAGAGGAAGCACTCCTTGGGGGGGAGCGTATAATACCTTTTATGTATGTTAGGTGCTATTCCTTTCTTACTCCTAAAACCAGTTTTGTCCAGCTCCGGGTCGGTATTTCCTGAGCTGATTGTTGGTGAGTTCTTTGTAGCGGAGGGGTCTCCCGTGCCAAGCCTCATCTCTTATCGTCCTCACCGCTCTCCCGTGCCCCATCGCTTATCACCTGTACTTCTCTGCACCGCGTCCCATATCTCCATTTCTCAAGGCCTCTGCTGTCATACTCTGCCTGTATTTCTCTATATCACGTCATTATGTTGGTCATAAATACCTCATTTGAAATAGAATGACTGCTTGTTACTGCTGTCTGTATAAAACTCTGGTTGTACCATACAAACATAATGAAAATAAAATAATTGTTCATAGACACCCGGTCAGTTAGAGGAAACGCTAAATTACACAGCTAGGTAAAAAAACCATTCAAAGAGCACCTGATGAGCCTCAATCCTGAGGCCTTGTGAACACAGTGCAAAGGTGTCACTAGCAATGGAGGTACTGCCTTACAGGGCTAGATAGTTACAGGCGCAAGCCATAATTATTTTCATTTTATTTTTTTTCCTGACGTGGGGTGATTGATGATAGCCTGGCTGGCTGTGGGTGCTGTTACTTTGGGGTTGTCATGCCCATATAAACGGGACAACATAAAACAGGAATATAAACCCAGCCTTTTAGGAGGTGGTCTTAGCTCAACTTATTTGATGGTGGATACCCTTGGGCAGAGCTGCAGAATGGTCAGATTTTGGTTTCTGGTGAAATTAGACGACTCTCCTAGGAGAAGGTTCACTGTTGATCAGAGCGCGTGGAGCTGTGAACTTGTGTGATTTGACTTGGGAGCATCTGAAACTCTTCAATTTCACAAACCTTGGCTTCAGGTAGGTAAGTTACAAGCTACAGATTTCT